TACAATGTTCTATTCCGGACGCATGAAACAAGTCGGTTAACTATCGCGATTTCAACTGTTTTCCGTTATCCGAAATCACTACTTCGGGCAACCGTGACGGTAAACAATGTGTTCGGTGAGTTGTTCGACGACGGTACTGGCGGTAGTGCGGCGGAGAGGACTCATTTCGATCCATTTTGCGAATTGGTTCTGCATCGTGAGTAGCTGAACGTGACCAGGGCAATGATCCGACGAAATCAATCGCGATCTGCTGCCATGGAGCCTTGACTATAGGTAACCGGCGAGACATTGCTGCGAAACTTTATACGCGAGATAATTTCGATAAAATCTCATATACCGCGCGATATCCTAAAACATTCCCGGCTAGTAATAATTTTTCGCGACACGGCTGATGATTGTCTTCGCGATTCCTAAGTGACCAGCAGTCGGGTCGTCGTGATTTCAGCACCTCGTCACGACAGTCGCACAGTACACATTCCTTCCATTGCTCGTCCGCCTATACTTTGCAGAAATCGAGCTCGTGAAGAAGGTGTCGGTCGTTTTAGAGCGTGTAATCGGGATACACTGCAAAATCGGCGCGAACGCATTTCCGACGGTTCTCATATCAGGAACAGCGAACCCCCTGATGGAGAGCGCAAATTTCGGGTTGGCGCGAAAGGGCGTCTGCCACTTTATTGGCTGTCCTCCGGCGATATCGTACTTCGAAATCAAATTGCTGGAGTTCAAATAACCTCCGAGCTAAACGCCCGATGGGTGATTCTTGTCGCTGCAGCTATTTTAATGACTGATGATCGGTCATTATAATGAAGTAGTATATCTCTGGGTATCCTCGCATTTTTCGGATATTCCAGACTAGTGGATCTTTTGCTCCCTTGCTCCACAGCCAAATATATATATAAGTTACGTCGCTATAATTTTTCTCGCCGGCTGACAGGATGCGGCTCCAGTACACAATAACTCTTTCCCCGTTTTCAAATTGCTGCGTAAGCACCACTCCGAGGCCCAAAATGCGTCGGTTTGTAAAATGAATCTGCGGTTAAAGTCCGAGCAGGCGAACCTAGACTGGAGCGGTCACTAGTACTTCCTTTAATGTCTTGAAAGCTTTTTCTTCGGTAAGTCCCCACGTCTATTTTACTCCTTTTCGCGTTTAATAGTGTTAGTGGAGTAGCGATCTTTGAAAACCTGGCTACGTCGGTAGCACGATGCAAACCCCAGGAATTGGCGCACCTGACGGAGTGTCGTGGGTATTGACCAATTGCCACTGCACTAATTTTTTCGAGTCGGTACGTAATCCTTCGCGGTCGACCACGTGGCCGAGATATTTCAGCTAATCGGCACAGAATCGGCATTTCTCCGGATGTATTTTGAATTTTGCGGCGCGGAGTCGTCGGAATACCTCCGCTAAATGTTGTAGGTATTCGCGAAAGTTCGGACTTACGATTACTATATCGTCTAGATATATGAATACGTAAGGCTCTAACTCAGGCCCGAATACCGTGCCTAGCAAGTGCTGAAACATGGCCGGCGCAAAGTGCAAACCGAAAAGCATAATCTTGAACTGCATAAGACCCCGGCCCGGTAAATGCGGTGAAATGCTTACTCTCGGGAGAGAGAGGGATCTGCCAGTACCTACTCTTCAAGTCTACTGTAGACAGGTATCGGTCTCCCCTGAGCTTTTTGAGAGTGGCTGTGATATACGGTAGTGGATATGCGTCGCGTTCTGTTACTTCGTTTAAGCGGCGAAAATCTATGCAAGTTACCGTTAATCTATCGCGAAAATCTATCGCGAGTTACCGTTATACTTCTTTACGATTATTACGAGGGCGAGCTCCAAGCGCTACACGATAGCTTTATAATTCGTTACCTCGTCATCGATAATCTTTTGCATCGCAAGGTTTTGCAGACGGTAATGTTGTTTAACCTTTTAACTACGGCTGGACTTTTTGCGAAACTGTATATCTGTACGGCAAAGTTCGACGTGGAATGCGTGTAAACAATGCACCACTGCGATTTGTGTCTGGTAATGCCATCTTCTTGTATGTCGTCTCTACGTGAATATCAGAATCTTCCGATCCGGACGAACTCAGTATTCTTCTTGACAATTTTCTTAAATTCTTTCTACCACGCATATTTTTGTTTAGCTCGTTTTCTATTTCCGAGTCTGTTTCTGAATCGTAATTAATTGCTCTTCGTTTTTTATTTTGTATTGACATATTAGGGTTAAGAATTCTATAAAATTATAAAAATACGAACTGGCATGTTAAAAAGATCATCGAATAATAGCATATTTATTGAAATAAGAAGAAACAATTAATATCTGACACTGGCGTATATCTGACACTAGTGTATAAAAAACCAAAGATTGTATGTTTTGTCGGTACCTTTGATATGTGTGCTCCTTAACAATGTCGTTAATACTGTTACGAAATGTGTGGGCGAAAGAAATGTGAAACGAAACAAATGAAAATGCACGCGACATGGCGATAATATACACAGTATTAACGACAGAGTGAGCCACCACAGTAGCGTACAGAAAAATGACATACGCGAAAGCCACTATAGCGGCGTACCGTTCAAAAATATGACATATGCAAAAGCCACTATAGTGGCGTTTGCTCTTTTGCATTGGGAAACAGACGCATTTGGCCAAGCGATATCCTGTAAGAAAAATTGTAATATGACTAAGACCATAGCCTAAGAGGCCAATCGGATATGGAAAAACGTTAACCCGTTATAAAACACAGACACAAAATTTGATCATGAGATCTCGATAATGCACCAGATACGTCTGTTGTTTCCCAAAATGTCCGTTTGCGAATAGTATAAAGGAAAATGCCGCGACTAGCTATCATTCCGTCATAAAATCGAAAAGATTATACGATCCTAGAAAAACAAACTGTCCAATGTCCTAATTTCCCGCCATAAACTGACGTAACTCATCCTCACTCCCACATTTGAATCACGCCACATTTTTCTCCCCTCTCATCTGAAAAAAGCGCGAAAACGCAGCTATCCCCTCTCACCCTCATGCTTTGCATGCTCTTTTATGATTTGCCAGAATTCCAAGGACCACGTCCAACCTCCACTCACTTTTCCTCCTAAAAAAGGTGTTAAGGATTGTCATCACCTTCTCCTAAAAAATCTATTTCGAAATCTCCCTACCTCCCACATCTTCTTTCCACGAAAATTGATCTCATTGGCAATCGTCATCCGCCACTCTTAAAAGTCTTCCTATAAAAGTCCCCCTCTCGCTTGCCGCCGATAGACACTTCTGACTAACTCGCTATATCCAGCAGAACCAGTCTCGTAGCGAACAATCTCTCTCAGCTATCACAATACCCCTCGGTATTTTCTTTAGCAGACTTTACTAATTGTTAAAATCTCTCGGCTCGACACTTCGATATAGTCGTCGCGAGTGCATTTGCTATCTTATTTGTCTACAAATTGAGCCACGAGACGACAGGTCGAGTTAGCCCTCGCTCCTAGAAATCTCAGAAATCTAGTACACCTCGATCAACGAGTAAGTACACCGCAATTAACATTTGTTCTACTTTACCTCCCATCTATCCTTTTACTAACTTCCCTCACTACCACAGTGCACATTCTGCGTGAAGAAAACAGGCGTCAAGCCCTTGCATTGGCTGCTAGGTCTCCACGAGGCTAGCGACGATACCCCAGCAGAACATCTTGGGTATATTTCAGAATTATTATCGTCGCTAAAAAATACACCTTCATTGATACACCGTTTTCCTTTAGCCCCTTCTTACTCACCCGATTCTCACCCTTCTTCCCCTCGCCTGCCGAGTCCCTCAACTTCGACACTTGATTCTCCCTATTGCTCACCTCCACGATTTCCGTGGAACACACCTCCCACTTCCCCCGGACCATTGTGGTACTTCAATCCGCCTTCCCATTCCCCGTCACCTGGGCTACGCACCCCAGATTCGTCTCCAGCCCCATTCGATTCTTCCACCCCCTCATCCAACCGTCCTATTCCTAACTCATTATCTTCCCCTTAAAATCCCACACGCATACTTACACATACATACACATTCACTTACCTGATTAACTCTTCGTATTCATTCCATGTTTTATTTTGTCGTTAACTTGTTGTTATTTCAATAAACTCCGAGATTGTCAATTTAAATCTGATTTTATTTTAAAACCTTCGCGCATTCACCATCTTTTCCCCAATTATTTCGCTCGCGGTCCCATCCCAAGTAAAGGGTTTCAGTACCTTGACCTAAATTAGGATCACCCTGCATATGTCCGCATCAGAGTAAAATGACTCTTCCGGTCTCAAGCCTGTATCGCCGACATATAGGTACGTTTGAGACTCGCGTTCGCGAGTGCGGTCGTTGCGTTCTCTTCCAGGAGGTAACATTTTACAATGACTTTTCTTATCAATTTACCACTATTGTTAATCCATATGAGAAGCAAATTATGTTATTAGTATAATTAATAAACTTTTTATTCAAAATGTCCTAAATTTAACTAAGTTTGTTACATTTATTCATTCATTTCCTTTCAATTACTTCAATCAGAATTCCCCTTTTAACACTCTCATATGGTCCTATTCCAGGTAAAGAGATTAAGTTCTTTGATCTAAATGAAGGACCACTTAACGTACATTCTGCGATCAGAGTAAATGACCCTTTCCGGGCCTTGACCTGATCTGCAGACCCGCGAGTACGTTCAGGCTTCGCGAGTACGCGAGTATGCGGTGTTTGTTACGTACATCCTTTTCCAAGCATAACAGAATATAGATACAGTTGGAAAATGAAGACGCAGATTTATTATAATATTTAGTTATTATAATATTTAGTTACAATCTAAATACGAGACGTGGTGGTCGACGCAATTTTCGTTATGCCATTTTCCTTATGCGCAAAAATTTGATTGTGTTGATACTGTCGACAATTTACATTCGAATTATTACTGCTCAGACGCGCAATGTATTCTGATGCGTTAGCCGTTACTTTTTAAACGCGTGCAGTAGAATGGATAACGTGAACATTTATCTATTGGACGAGGACGCTAATCGGTTTGCACGCAGAACATTTATTTAGACAAGAATAAATACATTTAATATCGGCGGTTAACTGGTTGACACTATAGATATTTTGTCTCCATACAGACAAGTATAAATTTAGCCTGCCGTAGAGTTCAAAGTGCGGTTGCTTAGCTTGGATGAGTACAAAGGCGATCGACGAAATGTTATCAGAACTTTATGGAAACGCAAAAAAATACAGTTTTATTAGGGAAGCCGGTCGGATGCCGAGAACCCTCGACAAAGACGACAAATAGGCTACCCTTTTATCTCCCCGTATAAGTAACGCAAAAACTGAAAATATTTGACAAAGGCGGTGAATGCACCATCCCGACTTTGTTTAGAAAATGAGAATGCGAGTTACGGAGAACGCTCTGAAGCAATTATGTGAGAAATCGGCCTCAGTAACATACGGTAACATGTAGAGGGAGTTGCTTTCATACGTGTATGTTCCGATCATATACCAGGTTTAGAAGTACGAAACCGGAATTTCCCTATAGATGGTGCTAGCCATCAATTTAGGCACCGTAAGACCGCTTCTGCAGCGCCATCATCTCCCTCTAACAGCTGACGAAGATTTTCAACACACAACAACCCAAATTCCATACACCGGTATATTTTTCTATAACCTTAAACATGTCGAGTTTTGTGCCTACGAACTACGATTTGCGGACAGCATTGGTTTTTTGTTATCATTTGAAGAAAACTGCTGCAGAATCGCATCGAATGCTTGTCGAAGCTTACGGTGAACATGCTCTTGGTAAAACACAATGTTCCGAGTGGTTAAAAAAATTCAAAAGTGGTGATTTTGACGTGAGAAACGAAGAGCGTGGGAAACCACCGAAAAAGTTCGCAGACAACGAATTGCAAGCCTTATTGGATGAAGATGATACTCAAACTCAACAAGAACTCGCGGATGAATTGAATGTGACGCAGAAAGCTGTCTCAATTCGTTTGAAAGCCATGGGAAAGATTCAGAAAGTGGGAAAATGGGTTCCGCATGAACTGAATGAAAGACAGCAAGAAAATCGAAAAACCACTTGTGAAATGCTGCTCGACAGATACAAAAGAAAGTCCATCGTATCATGACAGGTGATGAAAAATGGATATATTTTGAGAATCCTAAGCGTCAGAAATCATGGGTGAATCCAGGCGAACCATCGACATCCACTGCAATCGCTTTGGAAAGAAGACAATGCTCTGTGTTTGGTGGGATCAGAAGGGTGTAATCTATTATGAGCTGCTAAAACCTGGTGAAACCGTTAACACTGATCGCTACCAACAGCAAATGATCGATTTAAATCGAGCATTGCGTGAAAAACGACCGGAATATGGAAAAAGGCAACACAAAGTCATTTTGCTCCATGATAATGCCCCATCACACACAGCAAAACGGGTCAGGGAAACGATCGAGGCGTTCAGTTGGGAAATACTAACGCATGCGGCTTATTCTCCAGACTTGGCTCCGTCCGATTATCATCTATTCGCATCAATGGGACACGCTCTCGCTGAACAACGCTTCAATTCGTATGAAAATGTACGAAAATGGCTCGATAGCTGGTTCGCTTCAAAAGAAGAAATGTTTTTTTGGCGTGGCATTCATAAACTGCCGGAGAGGTGGGAAAAATGTATAAATAGCAATGGACATTATTTTGAATAAAATATTTTTTATCATTTTCAAACAACAGACGTGTAACTTTTACAAAAAAATTCCGGTTTCAAACTTCTACACCTGGTATACAGCTGTGGGGATCCGCCTCTATTTCGAATATTGAAATCCTGAAAAGATTTCAATCTAAAACATTAAAAATAATAGTGAATGTGCCATGATTCGTAACGAATTATATTATATTCAGAGACTTCGAAATTGAAACCGTAAAAGAAGTCATAACTAAATACACCTCGAAGTATGCTAGCAGACTCGATATCCATTCAAATCATTTGGCGAAAGACCTCCTTGAAGAAAAAATGGACACAAGAAGACTAAAACGTTACAAACTTTTAAACTCTAGTAGTCGATTCAAACATACTAGCCCCTGACACCTCGTTTAGTATTGAAAGCAATAGATCAACGCGAAGTTTATAGTTCCTACGGGTGACCTCCAATGGGAGCTAACTCACACGTTATTTCTTATTTCTTTTACTGAATGTTTCATCAAATAGATTGTAAAATTCGCTAGGAGTTAATAAAAAAAAGTTTTTGTAGATGCAAATAAAATATTGATTACGTCATATTTTTTAAATCAATTTTTATATGATGATAATATAAAATTTTATTTTTAGAAAAGAACCAAAACGAGATAGAATTGTCATCTCCCACGACGACGACGACGATGACGACGACGGTGACGACAATCCTGAAAACAACCCGGAAAATGTCGAATCTAATGACGACGACGATGACGCCGACGACGACGACGACGATGATGGCTACATCCTCGCTCGCATCAATCGAGATGACGACGAGGACAATGAAGATCGTGACAACGATGAGGATGTCGCCGAAAACGATATTAGTACCGTTGACAATGACGGCAGTACTGATTGCGACGACAAGGACGCCGATGATAATGCAAGAGGAAATGTAGAAGAACAGGTTTTCTACGACAACATCAATAACAATCCAGCGTTTAGCGTCCCGAATGATCTCTACGACGACGCCGACGAGGACGTCGACGACGACGACTCTTACCGTGTTCGAGAGTTTTCCTCGGAGAACGAGGTAAGAATGCTGATTTTCAAAATAATATATACAATTCGACGTTTGAATTTAATTTTATGGGTCTATAAAGTTTTAAAAGTTGATTATTCCCCGGCTAATCAGCTTTCTGTTGACGAGACACCTCCATATCTTCCAGGCTTTTCTCGTCCAGGTACATCCAAATGGGAAAATATCAGAGAAAAAATATGGTGAACAGAGAATGGGATCATACCTGAGTTCCCTCTCATAATTTCTCCCTTTGATTCAGGCTATAAAACAGAAACGTCGGACGTTTTCATTCGAAAGATAAATTCAAACGTAAGTTGTAAAAAAGAATATATATATATAATTTAAAGATATTATATATTTTGCATTGCTTGTAAGTTAATTATACCATTTCTTTTTTTTCATATCCTCAGCACAATGAGAAGGTTCATATGCGGTTAATTCCTGCGCCACGAACGATTACGTGGGATTGTCGACTGCTTCGCCGGACTTAACACGCGGTCCAGCGGGTTTGTCATTTCGTCCGGTGCGCGATTTAACTTTCGAAAATATCTAGCACCTTGCGAATTCACCAGTGCAAAGTGCCAGAGGACTCAATATCGCAGAGAATTTTAATATAACGGTATACAATGTCGAGACACCTTTGGGGCGGGGAAGAAAATCAAATAAATTGACTCATGAGGACATCGCGAAACACTCAATTTTAAACATAAATAATGTCGATAATTTGTGCCTTCCACGTTCTCTCGTCGCAGCGTGGGTTTACTGTGAACGCGGTAACATGCGAATGGGGGAATTGCATAACAGATGGAACGCTGTAAGATTCTCGCATTCCTCGTTACAACGTCAGTTAGCGGAAGAATTAACGAGGAATGCAGAGGTGATCATTCCTGAAGAAGGTATTCCCGAAATTAATCGTTTTCAGCGATATCTTTCGGATGAAGGAGTCGCAATCGTTATTTATAATTTTAGTAGTTTTGCTCATGGTGCCCCACCGATGTACTCGTATGATGGTCATGCGATGCTCGCCTCCCTTGGCCGCGACGTAATAAATATAAATTAAATATTTTATATTACGAACGTTCACGGCATTTCAATCCGATTTTAAATTTAAAAGCAGCCGCGGGGTAGATATTACTGTGTTGCATGCAATCAAAGTTATCGTTACGAAACAAGTCACCGGCGCTGAATCGCGTGCCCGTGCTGTCTCCGCGTACCTGCGTGCGAAGTCTCGAACGACGCGAATATTAGATGCGAAACGTGTAATCGTTTGTTTTATAATAGAGAGTGCCTCGAACGGCATCGTATGCCGAAATCGTACGATGGGAAAACAGTATCCAGCGTCTGTGACGTCGTGCGATTTTACAATAATTACGCTCGTATCAGTAAAGTAAAAACGGGCATAAATGCGGCAAGATCTTTTGTAGAATGTGTCGTTCTCGGAAATCTTCGAATCATCTTTGTTATATATTCCGTGTCTCCTTCGTCACAACTTGGGTTCGAGCGCTGTAACGAAGGATACATGTCGCATTCCACCCACAGCGTTGCCTGCAAAGGAGGAGAAGGTGGAAACGCATAAAACGTTAATGATAAAATTGATTCGGAAACGACTAACTATCGAAAAGGTCGCGTCGCATTTGTATTTTACGATTTCGAGACGAGGAAAGATGATAGATCGAAGGCAACGAAAGCGCGAAAAAGCACGTTCCGACTCTTTGCATTGCACAACAAATATACGAAGACTGTATGGGTAAAGACGACATGTCGACGTTGTATCACTGGTGCGATACGCGAGAATTTATATTCCACATTGATCCCGTAAAACAATTTGTGGATTTCGTGACGTGACCGACAAAAAATTTCACGCAAATCGTTTGTATCACGCGTAACGCGAGCACGTTCCATACGCAATTTATCCTGCAATACCTGGTCGAGAGCGGTAATAAAACGGAACCAAAAGTAATTTTAAACGGCACAAAAATAATATTGCTTACAGTCAACCAAATAAAATTTATCAATAACATTTTAACCCTTTGCACTCGAGGGCTCCGGAGCGAAGTCATTTAAAATTTGTCTTCAAACTCGAGGACTCCGCTATGGAGACAATGCAAATAGCAAGAGCGGAATATCCTATACACAATAGTTTTTACGATTTGTCTTTGTCCTTATGTCATGAACTGAAAGTTATTTGTATTGTCTCCATAGCGGAGCCCTCGAGTTTGAAGACAAATTTTAAATGGCTCCGCTTCGGAGCCCTCGAGTGCAAAGGGTTAATTATATGCCTGTGCGTTTGTCCGCACTACCAAAAAGCCTTCAAGCTGAGGGATAGGCCAGATAAAGATATATTTCCTCATTTGTTTAACATAATAGAAAACCAGTCATATGTTAGGCCGTTACCTGATGTGCACTTTTACTCGGACATAATGAAATTGGACGAACACGAACGATTTCTAACGTGGCACGCAGAGATGCGTCGTAAAAACGTGGTATTCAATTTTCAGCAAGAGATAGTGCGTTATTGCCGTAACGACGTAAATAATCTTCGACGAACATACATGGCCTTTCGCAAAATTTTTCTAAATCGGGGAAACGTTCGTCCGTTCGAAGAATATACTACAATCGTTTCGATCTGCATGACAGTTTTTTGTAAAAACTTTTTGCATGAGAAACAAATGGGAGTCATACCTCCGGGCGGATATAGACTAACTAATAAACATTCACGAAAGGTTCTTCAATGGCTAGCATGTATGGAGCGCGAACTTGGCCACTCTATAATTCACGCGGGGAAAAGCAGAGAACATCGCTTGATCGACGGGCACGCTCGTCGACGGGTATTACGAGACATCGGATTCGCCGAGACGACACGTATTGCAGTTTCACGGATGTTTCTGGCACGGATGTCCCCTGTGTTTTTATATAAATCGCGATAGACCGCTCTCGACCACGCATCGCGAGGATACAATAGATTCGCGTTACAAACGAACGCTCGTGATATGGTATCTTCGAGAAAGAGAATACATTGTAACGGAAAAGTGGGAATGCGCCTTTTATCGTGAGTTAGGTGAGAATCGAGAGATGCGCGAATTTGTTGAAAAAAATTGCGCACTTTCGGAAACTACGCCACTCGATCCCCGCGATGCTTTCGACGGTGGTCGCACGGGGAACACTGTGACGCGATATGAGGTTACGAGTCCAGAAAAAATACGTTACGTGGACGTGTGTTCCCTGTACCTATACGTGTTAAAAACGGGCGTTTTTTCACTGGGGCATCCCGACATTTACGTCGGCGATGAATGTTCCAGCCTGATCGGCGAAGCACCCGATTTTAATTTTAACTCCGTAGAGGGTCTCGTACGTTGAAAGGTTTTTCCACCTCGCAATCTCTTTCATCCCGTACTCCCTTTTCATACGTGCGGAAAATTATTATTTCCAATTTTATTTTATCCAAAATTATTATTTCTGCTGTAGTTGCTGCGAAGCATTTTCTCAAGCCGAGTGTGATCACAATGACCCCACCGATCGAGAACTCGAAGGTGCGTGTGTATCGTGTGAACTTCGTAAGGCTATTGAGAAGAGTTATCGTGTTGCGAAAGTGAGCGAGATATGGAATTATAAAATCACACGATACGACCCGGTCACGCGATCAGGGTGGGTTGTTCGCCGGCTTGGTGGGAGATAGTTGGGATCAGGCGAATAGGAAGGGGCGAGAGGGGAACGGGGAGGTGTCGACGAAGTATTCCCGTCTGAAGCGCTTGGTAGTGGGATACTTCCGGCTGGGGATAGGAGTTCAGAAAAGGCCCTGAGCTGAGCTACTAGCGCGTCGTCGCTAGCCTCGAGCGGGTCTCTGTGAGCTAATGCGAGGGCTTCGAGCCTGTCTTCCTCACGTAGGGTGTTCACTATAATACCGGCGGGGTATTAATAAATGAAGAAATTGAAGTTAATGGGGACGAGTATAAATGATGCTGAATACTTATTCGTTGATTCCTGGTGTGTAAATATTTTTGATCTCGGGGGCCTGGGTGTTGTCTCGTGACTCGGGTCGTCTGAGTGGTAGTTGCACTTATGACAGTTGCACGATTGATACTCGGACTAAGTGTCGGAATATCGAAATGTATATCTTTAGAGAAATCCCGAGTTATACACGAGTTTTACAAACAGGTGGCATCAGAGAGAGAGAGGGGGGGAGAGAGAGAGAGAGAGAGAGAGAGATCCCAAAAACAGAAGCCGAAGTGATAGACGTGATGTAGAGACGCGACAGAAATCGACAAAAAAGTGTGGTAAAAAAAAGGCGAGAGGGGCTTATATAGGGAAGATTTTTGGGGGTGGCGGATGACGATCGCCAATGGGAGGAGTTTTCATGGAAACTGGAAACGGATATGGAAAATTAGGAAACGGATAAGATCACGGACGCGTTGAGAAACTCATGACGCATTTGGTGGCGTATAGCCACATTTTTATGATAGCGCTTACCCAAATCCACCTATCTCCTGATAAAAAAAAAGGAATTTGTTGTTCCCATGGTATCTAGTAACAAAACTATGCGCCTTACGTGAAGGCGGAAGAGATGACAGATACGTTGGGAAACCCACGGCGCGTTTATCGGCGAGCCATCGTAATCTTATCCTCTTCACGATAACGCTTGCCCGACGTCCGTCTACTCCCCAATTATATATATTAAAAAAAAAAGGAATCCGTACTTCCCGAGGTACCCAGGACGTAATATGACGAACGAACTCGAGAGTTACAGCCGCGATAGCCACATCGAGGCGTTCATATCTGGTGGTCCGAAATTTTACGCGTACGTTGCCCGCAACAAGGAAGGAAGCACGCACGAAGTGTGCAAAGTAAAAGGTAGAATCTTAAATTTTGAAAACTCGCGGCTGCTTAATTTTAATACTAAATCCATGTTATTAATTAAAAAGAATTGCTATGTTATTAATTAAAGAACTAAGAAATGCCATGTTATTAATTAAAAAGAATCTTGCAATAAGAGAAGAGTATGGAGAAGGAGGAGGAGGAAGAGCGAAGCACGATAAAGCTAAAGTTTAGAGCAATTCGACGTACAGCGTTTCACGATATCGTCACGAGAGATAAAGTGAAATTCTTGCGCACCGGTATTGTTAAAACGCAAATTTAACTGTAACGATTACTCTGTACCCTACGGTTACATAGCGAACGGTGAATGATACTGCGTATTCCTCCTTCTTCTTCCGAGTCTTTCTTATCGCAGGAACTATATCCCCTTGTATTTTTATTCTAGCGGACGAAAATCTAATTTTCGTAAAATGTTTTGTAAAATATTTTATATACTCCTAATGTAAGAAAAATGTATATAAAAATGATAAATATGAGTATATACATCTGCTAATTCTCCCCTGCTAAATAAAGCGAGTATTTCCTGGGTATACTTTGTATATTAAACATCTGATAAAAATTGTTTAATATATCGGAAATGTAAAAATAAAAATTTGTAGTCAGTATATCAGTGGGTGCAGCACTAATTTTTCTCCTTCCTTTCCTACTCTCGATGAAAACAATGAAATTTGTAAAATCAACAAATAAAAACAACCCGAGAAGTTATAAGCATAGATGAGCACACGAAGGGGTTACAAACTGTATCTTTCTTCTAGCTCCTAGGAGAAATACGAGCTTTCCCCGCGCACTAAAATATGCTTTCGTCACGAAGCCGCGCGAAAGAGCTCATTCGCGAACCCGCGTCGCGCCGCGCAAAAAGCTCCTCCACTGCAGCGCTCCCGGATGCGCGCTCGCGCGAAGGCCGCGGCCGCCGCGAGGACCTCGACGTATAAGCTCATCATCGTGATATGAGACGTCAGCATATCCATTTTTATTTATGTATCAATGCAGAGAAGTGGAATCGTTCATTTCGCGGAATGGATATGCGTTGGAAACATCTTTGGACGTCGATCGTTTGCGGACCCACAGGTTGCGGCAAGATAATCTTCGTGAAGACTCTTCTTCGATATTTGCACAAGATGACCAACACGCACTTCGATAGAATCTTGTTTTATTACGCCGAATAGCAGAAGGCTTACCGACAGCTACAGCACGAGGCGACGGGAGCGAGCCAAAGCAACGAAGATAACATTCACGAAAAACGGGAAACCGTTGCGCGATCGAGTTTCGCGAGGGCTTACCGCGCCCCGACGATTACTCGAACGATCTGCTTTCCGTAAAATTAGTCGTAATCGACGATCTCATCGAGAAAATCGTCATCGTGCGATGTAATCGTGGATCTGTTCACAAAAGGCAGTCACCACAAGAATCTCAGCGTTATACTCATCTCGCAAAATTTATTTCATCAAAGGCAGGGACATTTCCCTCAACGCAAATTACATCGTAGTGTTCAAAAATCGTCGCGATCCCGCCCAGATACGTCACTTGGCGCGTCAGGTTTACGAGGGCGGTCTGATAAGTACTAGGATTTGAAATAAAAACGCAATATTTCGGAAAAATTTCGATTTATTTTTCAACATAGTCCCTTTTCACTTCTATACAACAATTCTTCCTACGGTGCTGTAACTTTTTAATGCCCTCTAAAAAGTATGATTGTTCAAACTCTGCAAAATAGGCATCTACCTCAATGATGACTTCCGAATTCGACGTGAATTTCTTCCCTGCGAACCATTTTTTCATGTTGGGAAACAGGAAAAAGTCGCTGAGGGCCAAATCTGGAGAATACGGCGGATAGGTGAGCAGTTCGTATCTCAATTCGACCAGTTTAGCTGTAGCGATTGCGGATGAATGTGCTGGTGCATTGTCGTGATGGAACAGGACTTTCTTCTTTGCAAGATGAGACCGTTTCTTTTTCAGTTCCACGTCGAATCGTCCCAGCATATCACTGTAGTATTGCCCCGTGATAGATCTTCCCTTGTCCAAATAATCGATGAGGATTACACCGCGGGAATCCCAGAATACCGTAGCTATAATTTTTCCGGCCGTTGGGGCCGTTTTGGCCTTCTTCGGAGTTCTTTCGCCAGGTAAAGTCCACTGTTTAAACTGTTGCTTGGTCTGTGATGTATAGTGATG